ATATGTTTCTTCATGGATAAAAATACTAATTCTATTCAACATCTCAATCTTTTCTAAAAAATATTTTATTAATAGACGTTTAGAACTCTTACTAATATTTAAGATTATGGATACACGAATTGAAAGTAAGTATCCTAATACATCTAGATAGTCGAGTAAATTAAAATAAATATTTGAACATTTAATTAATTTAAAACCAAGTATAAAAAGCAGTTAATCGAAATTCCGCTATTAATAATTTTATTTCAATTTGGTTTCTTTAATTCAATTTGAATTCAATGAGAAGAAAAAAAAAGAAATATAAGAAAAGCTTTATATTTAAGATATCACAAAAGAAAATTCGATTACTTATTTAAATACTCATATAATGAATATCTGAAGTTATAATGAGTATCAAGTATTTGGATTGAAGTATTAAAAATTAACATAAAATATTCATTTTATCTTTTAAAAATTGTGAAATTGATATTTATATATATGTATATGTATATGTTTATATTATTATTTTAAAATTATTATTATCAACTTATAAATTATTTTTATTAAAGAACTTTTAATTTGTAAAGCAAGTCTTTTAAATCGTTTAAAATCACTTAAACTAAATTTCAATCAAATAAAATAAAAACCGAAGCAATTTGATTTGAAAGATTCTTGATATAAATATAGCTTAAAAGATAATGTAAAATTTTTATAAAAATTGAATATCTTAATAAAAAAATCTTGTTATTTATTTTTAAAAAATATATTTTGAAATCAGTTTGAATATAAAAAAATATATATTATTAATTATTATAAAAAAAAGAAAGAGAGAAAAGTTAAATATGAATCGGGACTGAATTGACACGCTTTTGAAATGAACATCAATATTACATGCAGATATAAAAGACTAAAGAAAAGAATTAAGAAATTGGATGCAATAAGCATAATTAAGTGCTCTTCGTTTAAGAATCGATATAACTGTCTTAGTGTCAGGAACAGTGTATCAAATTGAACAGTTAGGGAGAACAAATTGTGAAATTTGTAACAGTTTTCGGAAAAATATGATATCTTTGTCATTATTACATCTGTGATCACATTTGCAATAACGTACATTATGGAAATCTTTATTTTTATTTGAGCTTTCTTTCTTATTTGGAACTATTAAAACATAAATATCTGAAAATTTTTTTAATGTAACATAATTTAATTTATTATTGTATTATTTTGATAGAATTGATAAAAAATTATAAAATTTTCATATTATTATTATATTAATATGTTAATTAAAAATAAGTTATATTTTTTTTAATTCCTTTTAATTTCTTTATTTCTAATAAGTTTACTTTGCACAAGCTTTATGCATAATAAATAGATAAGCGAAAAACAAAATATCTAAGAATTGAGAATAAATAAAATGATTGAATATTCTTTCTTTTCCTAATAATAAAAGTGGATATTTCTTTTATCTTGTCCCAATATTCTAAAATGTTCAATTTAAATAAAAATTTAAATGTAAAACAATTATTTTTTTTTTTGATGCCTATAGTATAAATATAATAAAAGTAGATATCTATAAATTTCATATGAATAAAATAGTTAATCTTATAATGTTCTCAGAAATTCTTTTGATATAAACAAATTTTGTTTATGTACATATTTAAATAATTTGCATAATTAATTATTCATTATTATTTAAGACAATAATTATTGTATCATAATTATACAACATATAAAAATAAAAATGAAATATTTTATAATATTGTGTAATAATTTGTAATAAATTGTAATAACATTAATATATAATAAAACATAATATATTATAAATATTTTTAATAAATGATGATTCAAAATATTCGTTATTGATATTAACATACAAATATTGCACATCCAGATCAATATTTATGGACAAAAAAAGAAAAATAAAAAAAATTTAACGAAATATATATGGATTCAAAGAATAATAAATATAAATATTTTAACAAATATAAAAAAAAGATATAAAAAATGTAGATTACAATATAATGTATATTATAAAAAAACACAAAACCAAAATTATAAAATAGTTATTTTTACCTACGATTATTTACTTTTTATCTTTAATTATGAGATAATCCAATATAATTTTTCAAATTGTTGTTTCAAAAGAAATAAATTAAACTGATTCATTACTCTTGATAATAAAAAAATAGAATAAAAAAGAATCTATAAATTACGATGAAATGAATGATATGCCGAAATGTTTTTCCGAAAAAATAAGAATACGGATAGGTTACAAATTTAGAGAGATAATGACAATCGGAAAATAAATTTCCGGCTAAAAATTAAGAGATTAACGTGAGATTGACGGATCTTAAAGAAATTCAAAGAATGATATTACCGATGCAATTTGCTTGGATTTAACGATTGGAAAGAGGAAACTTGAGCTTATTCGGAAATAAAGACGCAAATGAGAGCACAAAGTGGAAGAAAGGAAATAAACTGAGTCTCTTGAACTAATGATTGAACTTTCGAATCTAACATTAGATTCGTTCAAGAAGGGAGATATATCAATTTCAAGAATTTAAAGAAAATAGAAAGATAAATGAAAAAATTCGATTTATTATATTATTTATATAATATTCGATATTATAATTTCAAATAATTGTTTTTTTAAATATCAAAACATTTAATAATGCAAATAAAAAGAGAGAATTAAAACATATATAACGATTCCAAACTTGAAAAATAAAAAAAAATAAGTAAAAAAATTCAATTTATATTATAATTCTGTTATTTCGATTGCAGTAAAATATTTGATAAGAATTTAATAAGAATATATATAGAAAGAAAAAATAATATCACAATGATTTGAAACATAAAGAGTAAAAAATTTGAAATTTCAAAGTAGAGATTTTAAAATTATCATAAATATTATATGTTAATTACATTATATTTCGATATCTTTCATTATTTTCTTATTATTATCTGTAATCTCTAATTTGATATTTAAATATTATTTATTATATATATTTATTTTTTATACAACAAATAGATATAAAATGCTTTAAACAATCCAAATAATACAAAACAATCTGAGCAATGCAAAATAATATATTGAATAATATATTTTAATAATAAATTAAGATAAATTAAATAATAAAATAAAGTTATAATTTTACTCATTCTCTATTTTGTGAATGTATTTTGTTAAAATTTATGTCATAGACGAATGTAAATATATATATGAGAAATTTAAATGTGCAGAAATACATATATATATGAAATATATGTATATAGTATGACAAAAAATGACATAAAATGTTTAAAATTAAGTAAAATAAATTTCTATTTGGATTTCATTTCTTTCATATTAATTAAAATGTGAATGTATACACACGCGCGCGCGCGCGCGCGCACACACACACACACACACACACACACACACACACACACACATACAAAGAATATATATATTCTTGATGAAATAATTTTTGAATGAAACTTGTGAAAATTGCTCTTTCAAATATTTGTCATTCAAGTGCTATATTTTTTCGATACATACATTTTTGAACTGGTACTGTTTTAAGAGCATAATTATTCGGATTTCGTAAAAACGCATTAAAGATTATCGAGAAGTTGACAATATAGTTTGAAAACTCGTAAAATATACATATATAGGTCAGTTGTAGATAAATAACTTGTGTTCGATCGTGCGAAAAGCTTATTGTATATCCGATGTGCATACGTGTTTCGTTGCTCTGACAAGAAGGCTTAAAACACGGAGAGATCTTAACATCGATCCACATGTAGTTTCCTGTCAATGCTGGAATAATATTTGCTTGGATATCGATTCGGTAGTAAAAAGCGATGATATAAGATGTGGAAGAAAAGTAATCAGTGATATGGTCGATTCGATCAATTTAACCTGTCGGTTACAGCAACTTTCGATAAATTTTTTTTCTTTATTTTGGACAAAAAAAAAAAAAGATTTCGATCGATTTATTTATATTTAAGAAAATATTATAATTAATTATATTTGAAATGTATATTTAAAAAATTATTAAATATGTACGTTATCGATAGAAACTTATATATTTGTGTAAGAAATCATTAAAATGGACGTTCGAATTAGAATTCTTCTTTTATAAAAATGATTTTTAATTTTTAATTCGATTTCTCTTTCATGAAATCTCTCCATAAAATTCTCATATTTCTGAAAAAATATAAAATTAGAGATTATTTATTATTTTTATCTTAAAAATTAGAGAAAAGTTAATTAATTATTGTATTATAAAAAATTGTTAAATAATTGGATTCTTGTATATAAATGTAAATAATTCTTGTATGTAAATAATTCGATATTTTCGTATTGTCAAATATACTATGTAATTAAAAGATAGTTAAATATTTATTAAAATATAATGTAAATATTAATATAATAATAAAAAATATAAATATAAATATTATATAAATATTTATTAAAATATAGTAAAATATTTTCTTACGATTTGTATAACATACTAAATTATAATTTATATATAATTAATTTTTATAAAATAATGAATTAATCTATAATTAATTCTAAATTTTTTTTTTAAATTTTTGTTTTTTCTCGATTTTATTTCAAAATTTTAACGAAAAAAAAATTAAAAAAAGCTATGATAATGATTTCATCATAAAGTTTCTTATAATCCTCCAAAAACTTTATGCATTTCAAAAAAACGAAAATATATACATATACATATATANAATTTAATATATATTATAAATAAATTTCTCAACAAAAACAACAAAAACAACAAATCACAAGATTCCTTATAAAATATATAATCTGATTTTTTTCAAGTTAAAATTCATCTTCTTAATCAATTCACGAAAGAAAAAAATCTCAAACGAAGAGAAAAAAGATTAAAATATATTCTTAATTGTGAACAAATCATATTCCATACAAAATTTTTAATATTTAGTCTCTTTTTCTACACTTGAAAACTAAAATTCATTTTTCTAAATCATGTTCAAAAAGAAAACTGAATAAAATTTACCTTCCGTCGTGGTTAACTCCGGTGGTTCGGACATCCCAAGCACTAACCGATCCTGCACGATCCAGCAGGATACGAGCAGAACGAGGATGAGCGTGATTTCATGTCCGAAGTTCCTCGAAACGGCCACGGAGGACGTGGATGACGGCAGGGACGCCGTCACGTCGACGGCGTCGGTGGCGTGCATCTTCACGACTGGCCCTGACACGCGGCCTTTTCTCGCGCACCTTTCTCTACTCTGTCGCTGCTCACCCCTATGTATGTACGCATACGTGGTACGCACTGTAGAGCACCTGCACGCAGGTCAAGCCTGCCGTACCTACTTCCGGTATCACATATCCGCGCAATCAGGTCGCGTGATCGATAGCACGCGCATATCTCCACACGTTTCACTACGGGCACAATTTCACTAGAAAAGAAATATTAAAAATACCGAGGAGAATGAGAAATCTTGTTCGAGTATTGACGAATCTAAAAGACGACCCTCGTTCCTTATATTCACCCTCGTCGTTAATGTCCTGTTGTACCGGCTCCTAGGGGAGCGAATCAAGAAGGAGGAGGAGGGCAAGAGTTCGTGGACACGTTTTACCGCAACCACCACCACTATCACCAGCACCACTCCTCCTCACCGTTTGAACTACGGGTTTATGGGAATAAAGGTACACTGCTTCTTAATTCTACTCTCTTCAACTTCTTCCTTCTTATTTCCTTATTATATAAGATATATATCTTCGATATAACGATCGATCCTGTCAAAGAAAAACTTCCTTTCACCGTTAAGAATAAATCAGAGAATAAGAAAAACAGTTCCGCGAATGTTTTTGATGGAACGAAACAACGACGCGATTCATCCGTCTTCTCTCCACGCGGACTTTCGCGATATGGAGCTAGCAAACGACCGAATCGCTCAGGGGGTGGTCGTAGGCTAGGGCGCCGACGTCCTGCGCAATGTATGCGAGAACTAGCACGCTTTTCGCACCCCTCATACCCCTGATCCCAAGTCGCAATCGTCGCAGGGGCGCAGAACCCCTGAGTCATTCCTCGTGAAACAACGAGTAAAACGTTCATCGATGTGTTGCTTTCGTGCAGCGCAACGTAAATATGCATTCTAGACGAAGAACACGTCTTCGACTAGGGGCGTCGAGGCGCTGAGGTTGTGTTGTATACGCTATGAAAACGTGCCGAAAACCTAACCTATCCGAGATGCCGTCATGGATTACCGGCAAACCGAAATACGCGGACCTGACCATAAATATAGATTGTAAACGGAAAAGTTGCGTTATATGACGACGTTGTCTCAATAGAACAATAAAAAAATTTTTTTTTCTACTTTTTATTATATAAATCATTCATTGATAGGAAATATTTGCGATCATAATTTTTGATATCGTTCATCTACCTTTTTTTTTCTATGAAAAAAAATAAAAAATAAATTAAAAAAATAAATTAAAAAATATTTTTAATTTAATTTTGTGATCAATAGATATAACATAAATTCTTTAATTTAATTAGAATATTACATTTAAAAAAAATGAAATGATTATGAATTTATTTTTGAGTTTTTTAAAAAGTAAGATATTAAACAAATTCTTTTTAAATTAAACTAAATTACACATATGATAATTATAGATATTGTAATATCATGTATATAATAATATTATAAAAATATACATGATATTAAAAATATATTTTTTATTTTATACATCTTTTTCAAATAAAGTTTAAGAAGAATTTTTCGAATTGTATAAACAAAAATCTAATTTTAGTAAAAATTCTATACAAATATAAATATATTTTATTTTTATTTTTATTTTTAATATAATATTTTATTCTTTTATATTAATAATAGTGATACTTCATTTTTAAAATTGAAATTTTCTGTTAAGAATTTATTAGAAATTATGCAGAATGCGAAGAATTACTATAGATTTTTTTTATTATATGAATTACTTTTATCATAAAGTATCATATTCAAATTTTCAAATAAAATACAGTTGAATAGTAAAAATTGAAAAATTGATTTTTTTGATCTTCCGAAATAAAATATTCCTTGATGTTGAGCCTATACTTTAAGCTAAAACTCCAAATGAGAGACGAATTTATACTCTTTTGTCTGCAGGGCTCAATCTTTCACACATGCATGTAACACACATTCATGTCACGTATCTACTATTGTTCAATCTCCATTTCTATAGTTCAAGGTACCTTTCTAATATACATATCGCTCAGAATCGACGTTCTTTCACACGTTTGTCAGTTGTTCAATATAATAAAAGGTTTCTTAATCTCTTTGAGTTCGATTTGAACTTTTGAATTTTCATCGACATTTTTTTATCATTCTCACTTTTTTCTTTTTGTCATTGGTTCTCGATTCGTATCAATCATTACTCCCTATGGAAAAGTTTGCAAAATATAGCGATCAAACTTGTCAGTTATCAAAGTTATCGATAAAAATATTGCGGTTCAAATGATTTTATCGATATGAAGGATATTCTGTAGAGTCCTTCAATTTTATAACATCAAATAACAAATCTCAATTTTTATGGAAACTGCATAATTTAACTTGTTTCTGTCAAAGTTTATACAAAAATTAATAGAGGTTGGATGCAGCTGATTGAACTTAAACTAAAAATATGTATGAAATAATCTTTAAAACAGTCCATAAATAATGGATTATAGTTATTTTCAATCATGAACGAATATTAACAACATTGAGATTTTATATTTGAAATCATAGATTGTATTAAATACTATATATATAATATATAATTAATTTTATATTAATCATGGGAATTTACAAAAAATGTAATTTTTTTAATAATAAATATTATTATAAATATATTATTGTTAATATATTATTGTAATAATATATTATTGTAAATATTTAATAATAAATATTATTTTAGTATTGTATTAAGTAATTAAAATAATTTTTAAAGTTTGACTTTTGAAATATAAATATTGACTTTTTTTTAAATTTTTTCTTATCATTTTTTATATCATTTCTATTACATGATTTATATGAAATATGATATTTTTTAGGCAATGTCTTATTTTTGTAAAAATATATATTTTTAAATAATTCTCAATATACATATTGAATCACATAATATAATGAATATAATATAATATAAATGAATTCTTTATCAAAAAATAAATTAAAAATATTGAAACGATTTTTCATTTAAGGCTTCGTTTTCAAAAAAATGAATTTTGAAAATTCTTTGAATACGCATGTACGCATTGAATACGAATGTACGCATATATATATATATATATACAGAGGTAAAAATATTTAATATTTTTAATATATTTAAGTAACATTGAGATATGTGATCAATAACAAATTAATTAATAAGAAATTTTTATTGCTTAAAATATATTTTAAGATTATAGATAATATATTTAGATTATAAATATTTTCATATTTAATTTCTATATCTTTTCATTCTTAAATAAATAATAAGTTATAATTATATCAAGTGTAGTATCAAAATATTTTATTAATTAATTTTTAATTTTTATTATTAATTTTTAAAAGTTAAAAATTTTCATTTTAACAATTATAATGTCATCATAAAAATTAACTCAAAAAAATTAAGGAATACTGCTAAAAATTTCATAAAACAATTTCTATACTATCAAAAAACTACAATAACTAAGAGAAAAAACTATAATAATTAAAGAAATTATCATTATATTATTATCATTATATTCATTATATAAATTTTAAATTTTTCAAATACAACTCAATATCAATAACAAAAATAAATCTTATCCTACCAAAAATTAAATATTTTAAAATTATTCCCATATTCAATTACAAAAAAAATCGATAATTCAAAATTTTGAAAAATATAACTCAATATCAATTATAAAATAAATTTTGCATTTGTTTCTTGAAAATTAATTTCATTTAAATCCATCAAATAGTTCTCCATTATATTATCCAATAGTTCAAAATCGATTCGAATCCAAAACTATTTAAAATCATGAAGTCTATTGAGAGATCCGTTTGAAAGTTATCAAGCCTCCCTTACAAAGACGACCCACTTTTACCAAGCAACTAACTTACGTAACTACATATCTCACGATCCTTTTGCTAAGGCGTGCTTGGTTCCATTAACGGCATCCGGCGAAGAAAACGACAAAACCCTCTTTGGATACGTGTGGCAATCGTTTCTGTTTCTGTATCAGTTTACGTGTCTCAGCATGTGGCCGGTAATCGCGGCTCCTTAAACATCAGAACGAGAATTCCCTTCCGATACATTAAACGTGACGCGTTAGTTGCCATCTACGTTCACATCTATTCGAGAATTTATAGGATTTTTCTCTATTCAACTTTTGACAGATATAAAAAGTTTTGTAAATGACAATTTATCGTATTTTCTGTGCATTGAATTTCCATTATTCATTTTGACAAATAATTTTTATATGAGAAATTTCCTCATAAAAATCTAGTAAAATATTTAAAAAAAAAATTAAAATTTAAATAAATTTAGTAGAAATTGAAATTTATTATTAATCATTCGTTACTAATTAGATCAGATATATGTTCATATAAGATTAATTTATATTTTTTTTTTTATAATAAAATTTAAACAAAAAGAAAACTTATCTGAATTAAATTTTGTATAATTTTTTTTCATTTTATATAATTTTGTATAATTTTTCTTTCAAAATTATAATGAAATTGAAATAACTAAAGATTTTTACTTAGAAACTCTAAAAGATTTTTAGAATTTAAAGAATAATTAATAATTAATAAGAATAATCATGTTAGAATAATTAATGATTAAAATTATAAATAATAAATAGTCAAATATTTCAAAGTAATAATCTAATTATTGTATATAAATACATTTGTATTGCTAATTATTATTAATTAAAATTTAATAACTTCGGTAATTAACAATAATCATATATGTATAAAACCATTTTAAAATTATAAAATTTGCATATAATTTTATTTCAATCAAAACTGTAATTCTAAGTTGTAAGATTTTACATGAATATTGTATATCAATTATTATAATTTTAATATTAAAACTTGAAAAAAATATATTAATATACTTAATTAAAGACAAATATATTATTAACATTTTAATATTACTTTCATTTTCTTTTCATTTCATTTTATTCATAAATTGGATAAGATTTTTTGTTTAATAAAAATATATACCTAATTATATATATATAATTATATATATATAATATTATATTTATCTAAATTCAATATTGCTATTATCATTGGAATATTAATTAAAATTTTTAATCATTTCTAATGTTTCCTCGCGAATAAACAAAATCTTTTTCCATTAGATGTTAAAATAGATTATGTTAAGTGAATTCCTCTAGGAAAGAATGTTGCATAAATTTGCTATCAAGCCTTGGAAAAGTGAATTTATTGCAAATCACTTTTCTAAAGTTCCTCGCATAACGTAATCATTTGTTAGGATAACTTAAAGATTTAAAAATCTAGAAGCTTTGCTTGATGAATGAGCTGTTGCAAGAGATCAAGAAATAATGTATCAAGGAATTCTAATGATATTTTTCTTTACTCCTGTGATGAATTTTAAAACTCGTTAAAGGAAGATGGTAATTTCGATGAACCTTATACTATATATTTTTGCAACAATGAAAAATCATGTACGTAATATCTTTATTATAAGATCATTTATTAAAATTTAAACTGAGTTTTTTGTTATCTTGAAAAGTTTAAGGATTTGATGAATGAAATTATTATCTAACATTGATTTATATTATATATTTATATTACATTAAATAAATCAATATTAAATTTTAAATTTTGTTAAAATTATATTATTA